TTATTATTATTATTATTATTATTATTATTATAACCAAGATTTATCTAGATTATATAACTATACATTGCATAGACATTATTAAACCCGGACGCCATTTTATATTTTGCTCTTTTGCCTCACTACTGGCCATTAATTAAACCAAAACAGACTAAACTGAGACTGAAAGGGTGACTCTAAATAGGATTACAACCAGACATATTTCTTTCTCCCAAGAAAATTTCCATGAAAGCAGTATAAACACTGATTCCCGGGCATTAAGTGTTAAAAAGACACGGCCCAAAAGACGTGATAAACTACAACTATGCCGATCGGCCGATGTCTACAAGCTTTAGGCGGTTAATTCCTTTTGTGGAAAGAAGGAAAAAATTCTTACTGAAGTCATGATTAGAATTCTACATCAATTACCACTTATTGCAAGCTCTACGCTTATACTTAATGTCTATAGACTTTATATGTGGGCCCGTAAGTGCGCCCGCAGTCAATTCCTTAAGGCGTAGCATTTAACTCCATCTAACGTAAACAGGCGATTTGCTTGGATCGATCAAAGCGGAATCCCCTGATAGTCGAGGAATTGATTGCTGAGAAATGCAGGACAGCTGCCAGGTTTCCATTCTCGTCTCTAGAAGGTCATTCTCTCTCGCTGAAACAGCTAGAGCAGCGATCATTTTGGTCCCGCTCTACTGAATCGTCCTTCCCATCAGTTCTCGCTTTATCAGGTGTAACAATTTCCTTGTGGTGAGCTTGTGATGCGGAAATAACAGCTAGGTCATGATCCAATTCGATTCCTCGCTGTCTGAAAGTAATATCGCTCAACATTTCGCAAGTCTAAACGCAGGAAATTTTCGGTTTGAAATAAAAATCTTCGTATATATTAGCCAAACAATATCAGGAGAACATCTTGATATTAGACACTGCGTGACCAGGAATCTTCCATTTGATATAGTCGTAACTACCTTAAGTATTCTTTTAATACTATTACAACATTCTTGAAAAGTATTCTTCACCGTGAAAATTAAATTGGATACTCGTTGCTAAGAGAAGGAAGTTATTCGAAACGAGTCAGTCAAGGACGCCATTACTGTCCTTTTGAATGGCAGGCGACCAAAGTTTCGTTTAATCTCTCGCATTTCAGTTTGTATTCATCCCTTTCGCTGGCGACGTTTCTCAATTCTTCCTTGGCCTTCAAAATTTTTAACTCAAGAGCCGCATTTTCTTCCGTGACATTATCCGTCTTTTGTGAATCTTTCTTACGACACTTTAGAGCGCCGTATTTTTGGTTCTTGAGAACTCGTCGTCGCTTTCTAAACTTTCGCACCAGTGTGTCGGATTTCTTGTTCAAGGTTTGAAGAGACATCTTTTCAAGCTTCTCGTCGCTCAACTTTGCGGTTAATTTGCAAGAGAGATGATTTCGGTCCTTTTGTTTTCGCTTTGCAGCTGTTTCTTCATGAACAGACCATGTCGTGTTTTCGGGTACCAAACCAAAGCTTTCATCTCTGTCGCCATTGAAACGATCGTCCGCGTTCGATTCATTGTTACTTGTCATTTCCATTTCATTTAAAAAAAGGCTCTCTTCCTCGTTAAATGAAAAATGTGGCACAACTAGATCAGAAGTACAAGCTTCCTTGTTCGAGTCCATATCTGAAACGTAATGACCCTTTGTTCGTGTTCATGTCTTTGTATAGTCATAACACGAACTCATCTGCATCAAATCAGAGCGCACCTTAATGACGTAAGAGTGAGGGGATTCCCCATTTTTTGGTTGATGTCTTAAATTGTAAACAATCTATCAGGAAAAAAGCAACTTGTCTTACTTTACAGTCTTTCTACATATGAAAGTGTCCCAGAACTAATGTTTGAGTCTGGAAATGTTTTTCTGATGGACTCAACCATCCATTGACATTGTAAGTCGCAGACATCTTCGTGACTGTCCGGTTTGATTTGACAATGTTGGTTCCAGGTTTAGTTCCGGGATGTATGTACTGTAAGCTGAAGGCTGATTCATGCAGCCCCACACTATATATATACAGCTATATATAGGAAGTCTGCGTTTCGATTTTCCGTAGTACAGTGCTCGATACAATAAAGTAGAGCGCAACATATATTGAAAATAGCAAAAAAAAATACACTTTCATCCCGACAAGTGAGCGAGCGAGTGAGCGATCACGAAACAGACTTGTCGGGATGAACGTTTAGTTTTTTTTCTATTTTCAATATATACAGCTATATATATATATATATTTGTCAGTGTATACAGCAACTTTAAATGGAAATTATTACCTAAGTGCAACCTTGGGAATGCCCCAGCATGTTATTAAATCATAGATGCGATCGATGTCTGATCATGATGTCAACTTGAGACTGGTCCAACAATTTGTCTGGTTCTTGTTGTGGGATTTAGTTTTAATACTGATATCAAAGGTGCCCTCACGTTAATGAAGACAGAAGAAAACAACAAGAATAAAAACATCGTTCCGATATCTACAACATACAAATATACGTCACATTCGGTAAGATCAAGTATTGATAGGGATGACAATCTTCATTAGATGTTATGAGATTTTCAGCCTTTATCAGCCTATCATATATTTTCGCTCGCGTGCTATTGGTCTAAACGGGTCACATAAATGAACATGCTCCAGCTAAAACTGGGGAATATCTAAGTGATATCACCCAGTTTTAAAAAATTCCCGCTTGTTACGGTTTTCGAAAAATATTTGAAGGATAATAAACGCAATAGCGTCCAGCTGTTGCGAAAATATACTCGGATATTTGTCCTTCGACATTATCTGTTCCTCGAAGCTCACAGTTTTCCAAGAGCGAACCTCCCAGAACAGATGATGTCTGCGGACAAATATTGGCTTCGATTATATACCCGAGTACACATTGAGACTGGTAGACTGGTTAGCAGACCGAGGCTGGCTCTCTGATAGAAGAAATTATGCAGGTCACAAGTACGATTCTCCGGTAACATTCAGTCCTGGTGTATTTTTTGTTTTGTTTGTTTTTCTGTTTTTGTTTGTTTGTTGATTGGTTGGTTTTCCTTCTTTCTCCTCCCACCGTCCTCCTCTCCCTCTCTCTCCCACTCGTCCCTGGCTTCCCGGCCCCTTTACATCTATACACACAACTTCCACCGATTGCAATAACGGCAGCTATCTTGATAATAGACGGCCCGTGGTCCCTTAGCCTCCGTTCTATGCAGACGTTCTTGAAAGGCAGGTCAAATCTTTCCTGCTACACATACATCTGACTAATCATACCGTACTTACAAATCCTGGATGTTGAGAAATTTCGCAAGAGACGTCAACAAACAGAATGGGGTGGATATTTTCCGAAAGTTGATGAGACACTTAAAGTCAATCCCAATTTCAGCGAGAAGCTGTATACAGTCCTCTGCGGGGGAAGCGCGAGACGTAAGAACTTCTTCGCAGCGCAGAGTAAAACGTAAAGTCTGCATGCGAGCCCAGCAGTGGCCCACCAGGCCGGAGCTTATCTCGGTTTCCTTAGCATGAACCGACTAGGAGTATTTCTACTGCCCCCTGGATGGGATGTTAATCCATCGCAGCGTTACCCCCAGCCCTAAATTCGCCGGTACCCATTTATACACCTGGGTGGAGAGAGGCACTGTGAGAGTAAAGTGTCTTGCTTAAGAACCCAACAAAATGACCCCGGTCAGGGTTCGAACCGCGCCTCAACAGCACAGAAGGCTAGCCAAAATCCTCGCCCTCCCTTCAGAGAAGAAGGATTTAGTCGTCAGCAACCTCGAACCGTCTGAGAATGCGCCTGCCCACAAGTTCATATGTGAGGTGGCTGCATGGAAACTTCATGCACATGTAGGAATGTTTCAGGGTTTGACAAATTCAAACAATACAATGACAGGTGAAGTCTTTATTTGGCAATTTACGTGTTATTCTAAATGCCCCCTCAGGCACTTTCAGTTTCGAGAAATAATTTAACTCACTTTCATTTTCGATATCAACATAAACAAAACAAGATAGACCGGAAACAGTAAGTACTGTTCTTGGCAATGTGGAATGTTTTCTAAGTGATCGAAAGCTTAAAAAATAAATTTTCCAATTTTCTCTCGTGGAGCGTAAAGCGCGTACAACTCGCGACTTGTCCTTAGTCGGGAGAGCAATGGGCTCGTTTCAGACTGTTTAGAAAATGTGTAGTGAATGTATGTTGGAGTCAAACAGGCACCGGCACCATACCTACACAATTCCTTAAAGATTCCCAGTTGACTGTAAGACCGGTAACTTGAATATTTGACTGGTTCTAGGTTGTAAAACTTAGCCGATGGATCCGGAAGAAAACAAAATTGAAACGAAGATTTCGTGACTATTGATAAGTAATTTCTAGGAACTCTGTTGATTGATCATGATTCGGATTGTGTAATCACTGTAATTTTAGTACAAGCGTACAGTGACCTATGTAAAGTTGGTTATCAATCAAACCCGGCTAAGGGCATGCCGTGTGAGGGCTCGTTGTTTACAAGATTTAACCGGCCACCACTAACTACAATTCATTGTAATATATTTCAAAGATTGCCTTCGTTTTATTAGGCTTGGACTACTCAATATAGCGAACTACTTCTTAATATGAACAATTATGCTTTAATAAAAACTAGCTAAAAGTGACAGTAATAAATGCAGTTTTAATTACAAGGCAGGCAATTTCACTCCACTAATGGCTTTTCTTTAAGCTGCCGAGACAGGAGTAGGTCTCTTAGCTTCCAATTGGCCAAAGTGTGAACTATATCCGTTTTTCTTTTTACATAATCCAAGTGGCTGTGGAGTACGCCAAATGTACTGCTCAACGTTCAAAGCCTGCAAGCTAAACTGCTAATGACGAGGGAGGGACTCTAAAGCTTCCATTCCTTGCTTGTGTTCGGTAAAATATTTCTGCAACTGCAAATAATTTCTTTTGTATACCTCCTTTTCCTTCCACACTTTAAGTAATTTCCATTTTCCATCTTCCAGCTTCTTCTTCAATGACATATTTTCGTTGATCAGATCTTCCTGCTCTCGCTGTTTTCGTAGCCGACAGCTCAGGGAGTATCCTCGATTTTTCAAGTTTCGTCGTCGTTTTCTTATCCTTGCAGCTTCTTCCCATGGAACGCTCCGGAGCAGTTTATTCAACTCTTGAACCGGGAGGTTTGCTACTTCTTCGTCCGTGATTCCCTTGGCATCCGGGGCGCTTGGTCCTCCATCCCAGGACTCTACAGACCTATTGTCATCGTCCCGATCGCCTTCCAGGTTTGTTTCACCGTTGAACAGATCTTGGATGTCCTGGCCTTCGTCGACGGCGGCCATGTTTGCGGACAAATCGAATTCTTCGCTCCACGGAGAATCAAAAATAGCGATTGCCGCTTCACTGGCGAGAAACAAATCAGGCATATTGCTGTAACCTTCCTCCATGTTATCAGGTGGAGGCAAAAATGTTTAGGTCTGTTAAAACGGCACTACTTTTGGAATGAACAAAATCTGTGCTTAAGCAAGTCTCGGTGCGTATCAGTTTTACATTTAAACCAATCAGCACTCGTTACGATAGCGTATAATATGGGAAATCCCCTATTTTAATTTTCGAAGAATTCACCTGTTTCTAGGAATCTAGGCTATAAGTTGTGCGCATGGTTTGCCTCTGGAAAGGCCTTTTTTAAAAATACAAACTCGTTCCCAGATCCGGCGCGTTGTCGGTCCGCTGTGAGCGGACGATTGTGCGCATGTGTTTCCGTTCAATAACGGTTTCTGAGCATGTATAGAGTAGCCGCTGTAAAAATCGCTGGCTCACCGTCTAATTTCTCCTAGAGTAATTGATTTCTTCGTGCTTACGGGATATTTTGCTTCATTCCATCTCAAAAGGTCGCATATACAACCTTATTTTTTTCCGGTAAAACGTCAATATAGTTAACTTTCTTGCCAAACAATGGCAAAACAATGGCAAATATATTATAATATATTTAAGTTGGTTTACCATCAATGCTTTCCTTTTTTTAAGGTAACAGATAAATTCGATCGCAATTTAAAGTTCTCTTTCCATTCAATCCCAGGCCGACCTACATTATAGTTTTAAATAAAATGATTAAAAACCGACAATCGACCTGCGCTCAGATGCAGCAAGATCTGAAGATGTGAATTCGAACTGGAAACACAGCAATTTAACTTACTTCCAAAAAAAATGTATCCATAAGAATTTCTTATTTGAAATACCACCACTTGCAATGTTGAGAAGGACACAAAACGCCCTCTCCCATGGTCCTTTGGCACGATGTTTTTCTATTTCCCTCTTGCTCCATTACCTCCATTTCTGCATTCTTCCACAATCTCCCTCTTTCTCGTTTACCACCCTCCTGCCCTAAAATACTTCTAGATACTCATTTTCTTTACTTCCCCTCCTTTCTCTTATCCTGATTCCCGCCCCACCACCACCCCCCTGAACCATAGCAAGACAGGTATAGTCAACACACCTGTCATTTATCCTCCGAACTCCACATCCCACCGGTGAGACCACAAACAGAAACACGAGCAGTTTTAGTGGTCACTTGATCATGGGTAGCAGCATAATAAAACAAGTGACAGTTTTGAACAATGAGTGTCAAATGAAGCCTTCCGTTTCCAAAAATTGCCAAAACATAGAGGATATTACACGGTGGCTCGAAGATATGAATTTTATGTTCTCGTGGCAAGAACAATATCTCACTCGTTCGCTTCGCTCACTCGTGAGATATNAACCAATTCAACAAAAGCAAAAAGGCGGGAATCGTGACGTCATTGAACGATACGACACTAACAAAGGTGACATACGGAAAATACGCCACTCGGGTCGCGGATGAAGTGGCGTATGGAATCTACGAGTGGTTTAGTTCCCAGTAAAACACTCTTCTCCATATAATAAAAATAGTTATTATCGCTCGGCCGGAAAAATCGCCCACAACTTTCAGTTTCGAGCGATAATATATTCATTTTCAGTTTCGACGTCCGCAAAACTAAAACAAGCTTCATACCAGACATATATGTACATGAGACAAGTCCGAAACGAGCGGAAATGTTGAACATCATCTGAAACAGTACTAGTGTTGGATGATTTTGGATGATACAATCAGAAAATCAACTTTTTATTTGGTGAAGCGCAAAGCGTGTGCAACGGGCGAGTTGCGTGTACCTGATCACGCGATGGCTTTCTTTGGCCTCGCGCGGGTAGAAAGTATATTTATGACCTGCACATAAAGATAATTTGCTGCGACCTTAAAGGCACCAAAAGCTGATCATCCGTTTTCTTGATTTTTTTTGCAAGCTAATACCATACTGTCCTCGCCAAAGCTTGTGCGTGCAAATAAGTCAGCGTTTTTTCATCTTTTTGATCAAGCATATCAAAGAAAATTAAATTCACAAAAAGCGTCACTAACAATAAGTACTCAAATGAACAGCTTGTTACCCACTCAAATGACCTGTAAGAATTACTATTTAATTTTTTTACTGAGCAGTTCCCGACAAATTTATTGCAGCAATTCCAGTTATCTTAAAGGAAAATGTCACCATATCCCAGGTGAAATGCTGGCTCATGATGTCGTTTGTAGGATTTAGGAGGTTCGAATAATTCTTTGCTAATTCCACCAGTTCTTAAAGTAAAATTTCGTTTATTGCCAGTATGTATTGCTTCTTTCAACTTGACCTCGACTATTAAAATAAAGTTATACAATGTATATGTACAATTATTAATGAATTATACTGTAGAAATTTACAACATGGTACATATGGTTACAACACAGGCATTCGTTTTCATCGGTCCAGTAGCCGTGAAAGGTTATTTTGCCTGAAGAACAGGAACAAAGTTTCTTTGAAAGCGATTAAGTGCAAAATGTTTCATAACTTTGTTGACATAGTCCAATCATCGCACAGGACAGCTTATACGCAAAGGCTGCCCTGTTGACCAAGGTTCTAACGACAAGGTAGCGACTCTCAAGTTTCCACTTCCTAGTTGCGTACAATAAAACATTTCTGCAACTGCAGATATTTTCTCTTGTAGGCCTCCTTTTCCTTCCACGTTTTCAATAGGTTCCATTTTCCATCTTTCAGCTGCTTCTTCAATGAGGTATTTTCATTGATCAGATCTTCCTGCTCTCGCTGTTTTCGAAGGCGACTGCCCAAGGAGTATCCCCGATTTTTTAGATTTCGTCGTCGTTTCCNTTTTTTTTTTTTTTTTTTTTTTGAGCAACCATATCAAAGAAAATGAAATTAAAAGAAAGCGTCCCAGCAATAAGTACTCAGATGAAGAGCTTGTTACTCGCTCACGTAACCTGTAAGCATTTTCTGTGACTTTTCTTACCGATCAATTCCGATAAAACTATCGCAGTAATTCCATTAATCTTCCGTCACCATTACCCAGCTCGAATAGTGGGCCATAGTGTCGTTTGAAGGATTTAGGAGGTTTGAATAATGCCTTACTAATTCCACCAGTTCTTTAAGCTATAATTTATTTTATTTGCAGTACGTGCTGTTTGATCTCAGCCAGACCTCGACTATTAAATACATTAAGCTAACTGCTAAAAACGGAACCAGAGTTAATTAATATGTAAAGTTATCAGTGGATTATACTTTTTTTTGTAGAAATTTACAATATGCATGGTAGATAGGGTTTTCTTTAACTTATAACTGTTATAACAAAAGCGGCATTCTTTTTCATCGGTCCAGTATTTCATGAACAGGAGCAAACTTTATTTCAAAGCGATTTTAAAGTGCAAGAAATATCGTTGAGATATATAGTCCAAACAATCACAACGCACGGGACAGCTTTATTTCAACAGCTGCCTTTTTGATCAAAGTTCTAACGACTAGGTAGTGACTCTGAAGTTTTTACTTCCTGGTTGAGAACAATAAAATATTTCTGCAACTGCAGATATTTCCTCTTGTAAGCCTCCTTTTCTTTCCACACTTTAAGTAATTTCCATTTTCCGTCTTCCACCTGCTTTTTCAATGACGTATTTCTGTTTATCAGATCTTCCTGCTCTCGCTGTTTTCGAAGTCGACAGCTCAGGGAGTATCCTCGATTTTTCAGATTTCGTCGTCGTTTCCTTATCCTTGCAGCTTCTTCTCGTGGAACGTTTCGGAGCAGTTTATTCAGCTCTTGAACCGGGAGGTTTGCTATTTCTTGGTCGGTTATTTCTTTCACGCCTCTGGTACTCGGTCCCTCGCCCCATGACCTCGAAGATGCATTGTCATCATCCTGATCAACTTCTGGGTTTGTTACACCATCGAACAGATCTTGTATGTCGCGTTCGACGTTGTCGTCGGCCATCTTGTTGTTGCTCGTCGACAAAATATATTCGTCGGGCCACACAGATTCAAGAAGAGTAGTTGTCGTTCTATTTGCCAGATATAAATCGAGCATATTATTGCAATCTTCATCCATATTGCAAACGTAAGACAAAAAACCTGCAGTACTTTTGCCAGTGGACTAAACGAAGCGATGACTCAATACTCTAGGAAGCAGGCGTTATATGATTCTCGCACCGTCTTCTCAAACCAATGAAACATCTTCTTGATAACAAATGATGTGGGGAATCCCCGATCTTAAAAGTTCCAAGAATTCACGTCGTTTCCAAGAATCGACATCGAACGGCTGCAATTAGAGCTGCGTAGCAATCACTAAAATTGGTCCCTTTCCTTTAAATAGTACGTTTATTTAAAGAAAAGCCCCTAGTTTTCTTTTTTTATCATATAGCGAACGTGTTCCAACGAATTTTGTTTTGATGCTACTGAAACTATCTCATCGAAAATTTTCCAGATAACCGGTGAGGAACTAATGTTTAAGTTGATCGACCGTTTCCATTGTGATAGCCACATTCCTCCTTAAACTGGCTCTTGTATTCTTGAAACATGTTTCTTTCCCTGGACGTGATGGACCAGAGGAGTGAAGAGGGCTTTATTTCAAGTCTTAAATAAACTCTTTATTCTTCGGCAGCTTTTCAGGCAGATACGATAATTTCTGGGATTTCTCGCTTCTACGATTACATAAGTTTAAAGAAACGAGGACTTTTCGTCACTATTAATGAGTAATTTCAGGAATTCTATCGATTTATCGTGACTCTGATACTGCTCATGCAATCGGTGTAATTTTAGTACAAGAATGGAGGGACCTATTTGTAGCTGGTTATCGGTCGAGTGCTAGGGGGAGGGGTGGGGGCATGCTTTTTTGCTGCGCGCTCGTTGTTTATAGGATTTTAAGATTAACTCCACCACTTACTAAAACTGTATTCTAATGTATTTGAGGGATTGCCTTGGTTTAATTCAGCGTGGACTACTGAACATAGCAAGCTACTGCTTAATATGTACAATTATGCTTTGATAAAAAACCGACAACAATAAATATAGTTTTACTTGAAGACATGAAACTCATGTCCACCAATGGCCACCCAAACAGGAAAAGGTCTCTTCCAGTAGGCCAAAGTCTGAAATATATATAGTTGTTTACATAATCAAAGTGGCTGTCGAGTATGACAGATGTACTGTTAAAAGTTCAAAGTCTGCAAGCTAAACTTTGTGACGAAGTATAGTCAACAGAAACTTCTAACGACAATCAACCTCGCTCCCAGGGCCTTTTCACGATGTTAAACGACAAGGTAGTGACTCCAAAGATTCCATTCCTTGCTTGTGTTCAGTAAAATACTTCTGCAACTGCAAATAATTTCTTTTGTATACCTCCTTTTCCTTCCACACTTTAAGTAATTTCCATTTTCCATCTTCCAGCTTCTTCCTCAATGAGGTATTTTCGTTGATCAGATCTTCCTGCTCTCGCTGTTTTCGAAGCCGACAGCTCAGTGAATATCCCCGATTTTTCAGGTTTCGTCGTCGTTTTCTTATCCTTGCAGCTTCTTCCCATGGAACGTTCCGAAGAAGTTTGTTCAGCTCTTGAACCGGAAGGTTAGCTACTTCTTCGTCCGTGATCACGGCTTTGGCATCCGGAGTGCTTGGTCCTCCATCCCAGGACTCTACAGACCTATTGTCATCGTCCTGATCGCCTTCTAGGTTTGTTTCACCGTTGAACAGATCTTGAATGTCATGGCCTTCGTCGACGGAGGCCATGTTTGCGGACAAATCGAATTCTTCGCTCCACGGAGAATCAAAAATAGCGATTGTCGCTTCACTGGCGAGAAACAAATCAGGCATGTTGCTGTAATCTTCCTCCATGTTATCAGGTGAAGGCAAAAATGTTTAAGTTTGTTAAAAAGGGCACCACTTTTGCAGTAAACAAAATCTGTTCTTTAGCAACTTCTCACGAGTCTCTGTTCATATCAGTACCACATTTAAACCAATCAGCACTCGTTACGATAACGCATGACGTGGGGAATCCCCTGTTTTAAAGTTCCAAGAAGCCACCTGTTTTCCAAGAATTTAGGCCAAGTTGTGCGCATGATTTCACTCTTAAAATATATTCTCGTCCCCAGAGCCCGCGCGACGCTCTGGACCGGAACAGAAGAATCCTGGTTCTGTGTTTAATTTCAATAACAATTTCTCCAAGAGAACTTGATTTGTTCGTGCTAACCAAAAATTCGGAAATTTTGCTCCATGCCAATCGTATAAAGTCACATACACAACATTATTTTTTTTTCCGGTTAAAACGTCAATACTGTTAAACATTCTTGCGAAAGAGTGGCAAAACAATGTTTTCATCGTGATTTTATATTATATTTTGATCACTTTACCATCAATTGTTTGCTTTTTTGAGGCAATAGATAAATTCGATCGAAATTTAAAGCTCTCTTTTCATTCAATCGCAGGTGGATCTGTACTGTAGTTTCAAATAGAACGATTAGGTCGATCGACTTGCACTTCGATGTAGCGAGATATGAAGATGTGAATTCGAACTGGAAATACAGCAATTTAACTTACCTCAAAATAATGGTAACCGTTTTGAAAATCTCCCATTTGAAATACCACCATTTGCAATGTTGAGTAGGAAACGAATGTCCGCACAAGGTTCTTTGGCGCGATGCCTTTCTATTTCTCCTTACTCCTGGCTTTCTCCATTTCCCCTTTGCTCCCTTCGTCCATTTCACCATTATTCTATAACTTTTCTCTTTCGCGCTTACCCCCTTCCCCTCTAAACTACTCCAAGATAGTCTTGTCTTAGCCCCCCTTCCTTTCTCTTATTCTGATTTCCTCCCCGCCACCACTCCCCTAAAACACGGCAACTATATAGAGCAAGAAACGATAGGTCTCCTGTATATAGTAAATACACCCGTCGTTTACCCTCCGACCTCCACATCCCAGTGATGTGAACAGAAGCAGAAACACTAGTCACTTGATCATGAGTGGCTGCATACAAGGACACCTGACAGTTTTGAACAATGAGTGACTGATGAAGCCTTCAGTTTCTAAAATATGCCAACTATTATAATCCCTCAGCCGAAAAAATCGCCCATTACTTTCAGTTTCGAGTGATAATTTATTCATTTTCAGTTTCGATGTCAGCAAAACTAAAACAAGCTACAT